AAGAAAGAAAAAAGAAAAGAAAATCTCTGGGAATAGCAACAGAGAGCAGACACTCAGGTCCTCTCAGCCCATGTGAATGGAACTGCTAAAGGATTGCTAAAGCAATAGATGGGGAAGGAAACCATACCGTCAAATAAACTAGACCTGCACAACTCCCAAAGGCCTCACCTTCTCTGTTGCATTATGCAACACTGAGTCTCCATACTTCATTTTGATCTCCCAGGCAGTAGTGAAATCAAGCCAGAGCTTGCCTGAGGCCATTCAGAGCAGTGAGTTGTACAATCTAGTTCTGGAAAAGCGGCTTTCTTACTGCTCACCGAGTGTGAGCCAAGGGCGGAAAATAGGAATTCACATTCCAGCTGCAACAAATGACTAGAGCACAGAACACCAGACACGTTGGTGCTAAAGCACTTGGCTGCCAGCTCCATAGGAAGAAGCACTCACTGTCCAAGGGTTTACAGTGAGTAGGCAATGAAGCATGACCTGAGGAAGTGGAAGAGTTTAACTGGTTTAAAGAGGGCCCAAAGCTCCCTGAGTCAGGACAGAAGAGCTGTGTCATGATTTGTACGGAAAGAGAAAGGGCAATTATTTTTCTTACCTCTGGAGAGAAAAGGGAGGAAGACATCAATAACGACCTTAGGTATGTGCAACTAGAAACCGTCTGTTACAAACGGGGACAGGATATACACTGTATTGATATTTACTGAAGGCTCAAGTTGACCCGGGTACTAAGCAAAATACCGTAGGGGCCTGCGGACCAGCGGCATCAGCCTCACCTGGAAGCTGGTCAGGAATGCGTCATCTCGAACCTTACCCCAGACCTACAGACCCCATCTCCAGATCCCTGAGTGGGTCGCGTGCACGTGTTAAGTGTGGTAACGAAGTGCCGCAAAACACCTCACTGGATTCCCACGACAGCCCTGTGAGGCAGGCAGTGATCATCTCCGTCTCACAGAGGAAAAGTCAAGATTCAGACGAACCGATTGTCCAAGGTCACAGAACTCTGGGGTGGCGGGGTCGCCGACATTCTGCCTAAACGGGCCTGCGAGAGCAGTCCGCAGCCCGGGCCCGGAAGCGCCCGGCCCTGCGCCGCCCAGGACGGGAGAGGCGGCCAAGGCCCAGGTGCACAGGGAGCGGCCGCCGAGTCCTCATCCGCGGCCGCCGCCACTCACCTGAGCCTGGTGAACACGGGCGCCGCAACACCAGACCCTGGATCCCGCGAGCTTCCGCGCCACCGCCACTCCACCAGCAACACCCGGACCTCACAGCTCCACTTCCGGCCAACTGCCCGCTACTTCCGCCTGCTGCGCCGGTGACGGGTGCGGCCGAGGCTCAAAAGGCTCTGTCAGCGTTTTCCAAGGACGTTTTCCATTGTAGGACGGTGCCGAGAGGCCGGGGGAGTCTAGGACCCGCGGAGGCGAAACAGCGCCGTGGATGGACCTCTCTGGAAGTCGCTAAATAGCGTAGATACAGGTTCGAATCCCAGACCACCACTCAGGGTTAAAAAAAAATATTTTTTTTTTTTAACATTTATTTATTATTGAGAGACAGAGAGAGAGCATGAGCAGGGGAGGGGCCAAGAGACGGGGAGACACAGAATCCGAAGCAGGCTCCAGGCTCTGTCAGCACAGAGCACAAATCGAGAGGTCATGACCTGAGCCGAAGTGGGATACTTAACTATCGGAGCTACCCGGGCGCCCCGCCACCCAGGGTTTTATAGCCTTAGAGAAATCACATTAACTCACTAAGCCTAGTTTCTCATCTGTATGGTGAGGGTAATCATCAATAATAGAGGCATCTGTGAAGTGCTCTCAGGAGAAGAGTTAGTGATGAAGAGCCGAGCCTGTTAGGAGAAATGGATATGAGGAGCCAGAGCTGGAGGAGGCCAGTGCTATATAGTAGATGAAGCCAGGGTCATCCTTCACCTCCCTAAGTAGAGGGGTTCACACCTGAGCTGCTATCAGCACCTAAGCAAGGAAGAGACCCTCCAAGAGGGCCTGACCCAACACTGCCGTTCTGGGGAAAACTTGAGCACTGCTGGTTGGGTTTGTCATACCTTGTCAGTGCCCTGGTTGCTGGTCCACCTATCCTAAGTGCTGTGAAGGAGACTTGAGAACTGACTTTCCCTCCAAGGTACCATCTTGTCCGGGAGACAAAAACCAATGCAGCAAGGACACTTCACTGCAAGGAGGGGCAAGCCTGGCAACCCAACTCTGGAGCTCTGCGGAGGGCACTGTTTGCCTGGTTTTCTCACTAGGGCCAGACCAGAGCAAATATTCCTTCTTGCTGATTAGGACTCTCTTTGCCAGAAGAACCCAGAGAGAGCAGAGGGCCCATCCCCAGGGGATGAACCAAATTGCTCCAATGCAGCCATGACAGTCCTGTTCTTCTTTGCCAAATACTCAGTTTCCCAGCCTCCCTTGAAGTGAGAAGAGGATGCCGCTCAGTTCTGCCCATCAACATTTAAAGGGAAATTTACCAGCAGGATTCTGGAAAACTTTTATCTTCATGATAAAGTAGTACTGCCTCAATCCCTTCGTGGAGCTGTGGCAGCCACTTTGTGGCATGGAGAGAACTACATACTATGGATGGGAGAGTAGGAACATTAAGTCTTATGTCCTTGAAACAATACTTATGACAGGATGCTTGTGACCAGAATTGTCAGGTAAGGAAAAATAAACCAGCCTTTAAATTCTTGTAAATCAAGTTGTTACTTGCAGCAGGATGCATTCTTGACTGGGGGGGGGGGGGGGGGGGGGGCTCCGTAAAGATGACAGAAGCAATTATAAAGGACAGCACTTACCCGCAAAGGACAGCTCCATGCTCGCAGCACTCTTGGGTCCATTCTGTCTTTGGGGCCTCACCACTGATTACAAGTCTGTTCTCAGCCTTCGTGTTTTTGTATTCTGCCCTCAAACTTTGGCCAGTTGCTGTAACATGGCTCAGGATACTACTTCTAGCTGTCCTGCATCACCTACCTTCCAAGCAGCAGCCTGGTGTCCAGATGCTGAGTTGGACCCACCTAGAAACCCTTCAGGGTGACAATCCTAGCCGAAGAGAAAGCCACGGGCAGAAACTTGGAACCACGACTCCTCCTGGGCAACATGGAGGAGCTTGGGCTTTGGGCCAACCTTCTGGCATGGCCCAGTGAGCACCTTCGGACTTATGCCTCCTCTGGGAAATCCGTTTACTCCAGCTTTGCCCTCCACACCCCCTAACCCAGCTTTACCTCCCAAACCTGCAAAGACACAAGCAGGCCAAAGAATGCCAGTCAAGAGGCTTTCTCCATTTTATTTCTTTGGGAAAAGAAAACGAAGTCTTTCCATCACATATGGTAGAGATATATATTTATATATATTTATATATAATTTCTTTTGTGGTTGGAAGTCCCAAAGCTGAGTCTGTTCATTTTTTTTTTTTTTTTTTTTTTTTTTTTTTCTATTTTTTTCCTACTAATGCCTTCTCTTCCCCCTGCCCCTCTGGCCTAGGCCCAGGTTCTGGGGCAGGTGCAGTGAGGGGTGAGTGGAATGGGCAGTGATTACCAGGATGGCTCCCCCAACCAGTTCAGAGATCTGGTGAGGGTCACCGGGAAGGGGCTGTGCAGAGGGACAGAGGCCACACAGAGGGGCACTCTTGTTTTTGTGGGGGACGCACAGCTCATTAAACAGTCACCAGTCATGGGAGGAGGCTGGTCAGGGGTTGGGGAACTTGCTCACAGTAGTTGCCAGCTCTCTCCACCCTGCCCTCCAAACCCAGTCTTGAGGGTGGGAGGAAGAGAGTGAAAAGAGAGAAATACAAGGGTTGAGGGCCAAGCCTCCTCTAATTTTTATTGCTGGTGAATTAGAAATTTGCCTTTCCCTTCCTGTCTTACGGAGATAGACTCTGAGAGGATACCGAGAGGGAAGTGACATTGCTGTCGCAGCCCCCACTGATGGCCATGCAGGCCTACCCTGGGCAAACCCAGGGTCCTGGGAACTCAGGGGTCAGTATTCCTCTCAGGTCAGCTTTGTCCTTCAAGGGCAATCACAACCATCCCCCTCGCCCCCCAAAACAAAGGCCTCTGGCTCAGGCTTGGGCCCATTGGAGCTTGGAAGTGGGCAGTGCACCAAAGATCAAGCAGAATTTTCTACTGGAAGAAAAGGTGAGGTTTGGGGGAAGAGGCGGCCTAGGACAATGATGTTCTGAGCGTGAAAGCAGAGGGAGGCTGGGGGAATCGAGTGGGAGAAGACACAGGAAGACATCACAGACACTCATATGACCTCAGAAACTGGGTGAGGGGAGTGCCTGAGAGGCAGGTAGCACTTACTAGCTGTAGTTAGAGCCGGACAGTGGCCCTGGGTGTGGGGTGAGCCAAGCAGATGGGGCTATCACCCTGTGGGATCCTGGCCGGAAGGGTGGGGTAGAGCTAAAAAGCCTCCAGGTGAACCTTCCCAAGCACAGGAGGGCAGATCTTCCCCGGGCACTGAACCTCCACCCCAGCCTCCCCTCCAGCCTGATACGCACATACAGACATACACTCAGGACCAGGCCAGGCTCTGAGGCCTAAGCCCAAGAGACCTTGGTGGGGGAGGGGCTGGGCAAGTAGCCCTCTCAACCACAGACAGGCCATCTGCTCCCACTTGTCCTGCCAATCTGCCCAGGGAGGGGTAATAGAGCAGGAAGGAGAGAGGCCAGGAGCCCAAGGTCTGTCAGCTTCAGCAGATCCCATGCAGGCCCTCTCAGACTACATGGCCTAGGAGGTGACCACAGAGAGCATCACTGGACACCGGGGTGGCCAACAGTAGGAGCCCAGACCTACCAAGGGGCTGGGGCACCTCATGGCACTTCAGGCCTGCTATCTCCATCTC